GGAGGCCATGAAGGTGCTCAGGGGGCTGGAGCACCTCTGCTGTGGAAACAGGTTGAGAGAGTTGGGGTTGTTCAGCCTGGAAAAAAGAAGGGGTTGGGGAAATCTCATTGCAGCCTGTCAGTACCTAAAGAGAGCTTACATAAGAGAGGGAAAGTCATATCAGAGAATTATAGAATGGCTTGGGTTGGAAGGGGACCTTTTTTACAGGGAGATAGTGGCAGGACAAGGGGCAATGGCTTCAAACTGACAGAGGGTGGATTTAGATGGGATATTAAGACGAAATTCTTCCCTGTGAGGGTGGTGAGCTACTGGAACTGTATGCCCAGAGGAGCTGTGGCTGCCCCATCCCTGAAAGTGTTCAAGGCCAGGTTGGACAGGGCTTGGAGCAACCTGGGCTAGGAGAAGGTGTCTCTGCCCATGGCAGGAGGGGGAAACTAAGTGGTCTTTAAGGTCCTCTCCAACCCAAACCATTCTGGGATTCTATAAAAAAAACCAAACCTGTGAGCAGGGTGAGACTACAGAAGCTCTCAAAGTATTTGAATCAGGCAACCATGCAGGTTCTTTCTTTCTAGGTCAGTGAAGAATAATTCATATGCATTTCAGGTATGTTTTAATATAACACATTTTGATTGTTTTGTTTGCAGGTGACCAGAGACTGTCCGAATCATGTTGACTGGCACCTGGAACTCAGACCTGTTACCTTCCCAACAAGGTGGGCAGATTAGAAACACAGGTGACCTTCTCAAGAATACACAGATACTTCTCTATTGCTTTATCTCCATGGCAAAGAAAACTGTTAATTCTATTGTCACAAAGAACTGTAGAGTATTACATTCTCTTCATGCCTCTGAGTTTTGTCATAAAAGAGACCACTTGATTTCCAGTGTAAGAGTTCAATTTAGGAATGCGAAAGCTGATTTAAATTCATTTTACAGATACTTTATATACATGTGTGTGCATTTGGATTGGGGCAGATTTGTTGCTATGGATTTTTACACATAGAATGAAGAAAGAAACAAAATAAATTAAAATTGTTTCAGCGAGGAATAAAACTTCATTTATGTGAAAACATAAGATTAGGATAGTTCTGGTACAAACAAAGATATCAGATTTATTTTTACAACAGCCATGGCTCTCTTCTCAAGTGCGGAGACACACAAATGATGTCAGCGTGTATGACTAACAACTAAAAATAAAGCAGGTATTTTGGTACAGGCTACGTAATATCCTATTAATACAAGTCCATTTTAGTTTAAAACCAATGTTAAGTTTACATTTTCTTTGAACCTTACCCATTCACAGATTTCTCTGAGCAGCTTCCTTGTATCACATACTGTGAACTATTGTCACTCATGCACTTCTACCAGTTTTAGAAAGGAAAAAAATCCGGCTTCCTCTCCATCTGATGAAAACACTTTTCATCAAGAGTCTAGGAATCCATCCCTCTCTCTGTGACCCTTCTAATTCTACCAAGTCTAAAGAGAAAATCCATAAAAACATTTCCCAACTAATCCCTTTCTCTAATATGTTGTTCTGGTTTTTATCCCTATAATAAATGCCTTGCTACATCTTTACTGTGATTAGTCTCATGGGATGAACATGTGACGAGCATCTCCCCGGGGTCAGACTGCACATGGGTCAGAACCCCACAGCAAGTGCCAAAACACATTTGAATTCCCCAAAACAATCCAAGGCGGCAGGATTTTGGCATCAGCGTACTATAAGAACAGTGCAGTTACCAATTTGGCAGAGGAGAAGGGCTAAGACAAAGCTTTTGTTTTTCAAATGTGAGGGGAAAGTGTTTCCAAAGTGAGGAAAAATTGAATTCCGTGGGGTTTATTGTTCTTTCATTCCTTCCAAGTACTGCACACAGCAAGTTGCTTCTCTGGGTAACCTCTGCCAGGGCCTCACCACCTACACAGGAGTGAATTTCTTCCTAAAATCTAGTCTAAATCTACCATCTTTCAGCTTAAACCCATTCCCCCTTGTCCTATCACTACACTTATTCTCTATAAATAAATACATTTTTACTGAAACAGGGACAGGAATCCAGGTTTAACTGGACCTGGATTTTTGACACAAATGCTAGGTTTGAGTGGCTTCTTCAACACTGTTACACAACTGAGACCTTTTTAAAGTATCACTGTCTTTTTGCCTGAACTCTTTGTTCTCTACATGACCTTGCTGTGTTCATTCTGACATATTTTTTCGTGGCAACTGAGGAACCATTGACATGGTAACATAAAATAGGATTTAATCTTGTTCTGGAAATTTCTCCTTTGATAGCACTGAGAGTGTCATACAGTGTCCCAGCCCTGCCATGCAAACAGCCTTAAATTATGTTTCATAAGATTTAATCCTAAGCACTAGCTCTGAAATTCCCTTTGTAGACTTGTTCTTTTTCCAAACTCCCTGAAAGCAGGCTGACATCTATAGAAACCTCACTAGGCTTTACTGCAGCAAAGTTCTCTAAAATGATTTAAAACAAACATACCTGGAAAAGCTAGACCTCTACCAGATTTTAATTCTAAGTGCAAACCATATTCTTGAAGCTGAAAAAATAACCGCTGCAGGGATGATTTGATGTTGGATGGGCATGTCCCCCCTTTGTTAACAGTAATAATTACTTTATAGGTTTTCTTCCATAAATTTACATTTTTCCCAGAAATAATAATAATTAAAAAAAACCCAGCCATAATCTCATTTTTTATTTCAGCATTTTGACATCCATTGGTTGCTGCCCCCACAAAAATCATTGGTCTCACACTTAGATCAAACCACAGTAAGAAAATTTGAAATGTGGACTAATTATAACAACTTAGAACCAAGGGGTCCTGAATTAATCTTTTTAAAATATTAAACTCTTCCTTGAAATTGAATTTAAACTCCTTATTCTTGGGATATTTTTGCATATAGTAGTCTCAAATCCCGATGCGAACCAGCAGCCAGATGATGAATGACTAAAAAATTCGATGTCCCAAGCAAGCTGTTACAGTGTTTCCTCTTTTGCCAGGACACACAGTTTCGATCTTGTCTTTCTCCAGAACTGCCTGGAGCCTGGAGTGTCTATTGTCTTATTCTAGTGAGAAGAATCTATGTTGATCTTACATCCTCTACAGAACAAAAATATTCCTACATAATTAAATCCAACAAGAACACCTCTGTGTACAAGATCCCCCAAAGAAGAGATGATGGTGCTCAACAGCAGTCATTTTTTGTCTTTTGACTCTTCCTAGATCCCTGCAGACACACTCAGAAAGTTATTTACTACCACTCATGGCCTCCAAAATTTCATCCTTTATAGGTACCGGCAATTTTTCCTGCTATAATCAAATTCCAGAGATTATAAATAAGCAAAGAGCTCTGGGGTGTGCTTAAGTCTCTCTCCTTTTTCTTTTAATCATTTTTTTCATTTTCATGTAACTGCCCAACAAGCATCTTTCTCAACTGCCTTGTTCCTTCACCCTTCCAGTGAGAACTCCAAACTCTACACAGAAGACCCCAGACCTTCCCATTTTAGCCAAAGAGCCAGTGTTCTTTTGTAGAGGTGTGAAAACATCACATTTGCTTTTAATTTGCTTTATATTATTACATGACACTTACTCATAATGTAACTTTACCTCTCTCTAGATCATATCCATTCTTTTGATACCTGAAGGCTTTTAGGAAGTTATTATGCATTACTTGTCTTGCATTTATTCTCACCACTGTATGCCTGCAAAGCTGGTTCCCAAACATTCAAAGCTGTCAAATTTGATATTTGGCATTCCCAAGCAATTCCACAACCTCAGAGTTTGCCTTCTACTTGACTCTAGCCTAGATAACTTCCATTAACTGGGAAATTATAATCACTCCTTCCTACCTGATTAGGGAACAATCTTGAGAACAGTAAAATTATCTTTTCAGCCCTACAGACTCTCCTAAGTTTAACCTTCCTCCTTCATTCTTGCAAATAAAATGAATCTTGCACATGTATTATCTTCAAGTGCAGTGTTCTTCAGAGTTCTGTCCTACACCTTCTGAGTTAACAAAAATTATTAAACCCACAAACGCTTCAGAATCAGTACCTCCAAAAATAAAAATGCAAATATACCTTCTAATGGCTCCCTAGTTTTTTTCCAACTACTCTTTGCAGGCTCAAGGGAGGAGGTATTTGAAGTTTTCCTTTGTGAGATAAGTGGTTTCCATTGCAAAAAAATTTGCAGGAGCTTAACACTTTTATTTAGGACACTGAATTTATTCCCTTTTGTTTGATTTCCACAACTGTTGTTTGATTTGTATGGCTTGAAAAAGTCTTTTTTTATTCCATGACTAGTTTTACCTGGATGTGCAAAATCAGAGCTGAAGCTGCATCACACCTCACCCTCAGGAAGGTGAGTCCTGTACACCACATCACCCACTTTCTCATCTGTATGCGGATGTACTTAGTGCCTTCAAAATAATAACACAAAGTTTGGCCTTGATGTAAGCACAGTCTTAGCTGGGGAAGAGCCCCAGTGGACAGAAATTAAACATGCACCACCATGCTTCCTCCACGAAATGTTTGCAGTAGATTCTACCTACCTACTTATACTGAGTCTCATGAGGGGACATTTTCTACTTAGCCAATAAATTGTTCCATGAGGAAAGGGCTTAAAACAGAGCTGCTCTTATCCCTGTTTCCCTCCTGATCTGTTTAGACAGCTGACATGTTTACAGCCTTTCAAAGCCCTGGAGTGGTCGTTCTGTAATGACTACAGAAGTATATTACCTGCTCTGGGTAAGAGACAATGCTGCTATTACTGTACAAACTTCGGATTTTTAGGAGGACTTTGAAGTTAAAATGGTGGCTAAATATGCATTGGTTCCAAAACACAGCTAGGAGCAAAATACCCTGTAAAGAAACAAATGCATAAAAGCACTTCTACTGAACAGGTTATTTCCTCTCCAATTTAGAATTTTTAACAAAATTTCCATCTAGCAGAAGAAAAATGCCTATTCAAAATTAACTAGGTACTCACCTTTGACTCTGTCTCCTTTGTGCAGGTGAATTTCCCCTTCCCCTTGAGGTTGATATGGCTTTACTACAATAAAAAGTCTTCCGGGTACAGCACTGTAAAGCTTCCGTTTGGGACCCTGATAATCCAAGGCAGACAGCGTATCCTTGTTGGCACTAGGACTGTAAACGGCACTGGAAATTGAAATTAAACATCATTAACAGCTTATTTAAAACGGGAAAGTTAATCATTTACCATCACATTAGCAGGATTAAATTAAGCAAATTAATTGTCTTCCAGTGAGACATCTAACTCTGCAGAAAAAACACATGGTTTTCATGCCAAACAGAAGCTTTTAATGGTTGCAGTCTTTCAATATGAAACATGATCAATATTCACCTGACCATAATGTCCTGGAACAGAAAATACACAACATTAAAGTTTTTAGTTTTTCTGCAAATTAAGCTTGCACATTCATAGAGACTAATGAAATTGAAAATTTATATGCAAATCATACATTACCAGAACCTCCATTTGTCAGAATGACTTGAAAACCTCAGTATTTACAATTATTGTTGAGAATGGATATCTTTGAATGAACAAGTGAGACAACTGAATTATTAACTAAATGGATTGAATAATCAAGTTATTTCATCACTCCAAAGCCTGGAGCTAAATTTAGACCTTCACAAAGCATGGTGCTTATGGCAAATATTCTCCAAAATATCACTTTTTCTTGATGGCAAACACTAACTCACTCAATGACTTCAGAACAAGCCACAGCTCATCAACCAACACACTTATGGTATATGAAGAAGAACTTATTGAAAGGTGGTGAAAAATGTATAAGATCATTACCAAACCTGTAGAAAAACAAATGAACTGTCACAAAAACACAAAAAGAGGCAAATATTAAAGAGAGTGGGAAACCTATAGGAGATAACATAACAAACTTGCAGTACACTGCTACTGAACTCAAAAAAACCCAACATTAAAACTTGAGGTCTTACACAGAGAGTCCAAAACCAGAAAATATTCATGAGAAAGGAGAATGTTAATAAAGATTTGAAGGAAAAAATAGTATACCAAAGGAAGAAGGCTCATTTAATGGTGATTTAGCATTTTAACACTCTGCTTCCTTTCTTGTAAGAAAATAAACTGCTTTAAGTAAAATGAAATAAAAGGGCTAGAGTTTGCTGGGTTTTCACCCTTTTTGGTTTTTTTAACCAATTTACTACCAAAATAGTAGTCAATAAGTCGGTGGGTACAGAAGAACCCAAACACAGTGAATCCTTCATATCAGGAACACTTCCATTTTCCTGCTGTAATTTCTTCACCGTTTGGAATAGGATCCCCTTTTCACCTAGTTCTGTTCTTCCATTACTGTGACGAGGTGCTAATAATGATACTTAGGAGTTTAACAGTGAGTTCTGGTTGCATACCTACGAAGGATTTTGCATCAGAAACCTCAGCCAACTCTCACAGTCGTTTAAAGAAAGACTGGTTTTGGTCTTCAGTTCTTTGTCGTTTGGTTTTCAGTTCTTTGCTCTGTTTCTTTTTCCTTGTAAGTGAAGGAACAGTCATCACCATAAAAAAATCCAGATCTATAAACTGTTGCTACACATCCGATTTCCACTTGCATCAAGCTGTGTTTCTGCCTCGTCTGGTAGCAGCTATTCACAATGTTTTCTCCCAGCATCTACTTTAACTGCTATCACAGAAGATACATTCATTTTCTCCCTTACTGAAGGAGAAAAGGGAAATGACACATTTAACCCACACAATGAATGCATAACTTCTCATGCAACAGGCCCACTAATGGAAATCAGGGCTGCAATGTGGGGTAGAGGATTTTTTAAAATAAACAATCTTTCCTCTTCCTTCTTTACCCCAGCTTGGGTTCCAAGCCCAGCAAATCCCATGCCAGGAAGAGCAGGAGAAGGATGCAGAGATTTCAGAAGATGTGTCGACATGTTCCCCTCTCTCCCAGAAGAGGGTGGCCATCCTTGACAGCTCATCCCTGGTTGAGACTGTCTTTGTACCTCCTTTCATAATCACTGTGGGACACATTCCATGGGAAGGGTATTCATTCCTTTGCCTCCCCATCCCACATCACAATCAGTTTGCTATGAAAAGCAACATCCTCATGAGAATCATAGAACAGTTTGGGTTGGAAGGACCTTAAAGGTCATTGCAAGCCTCCTGCCATGGGCAGGGAACCTTCCACTAGATCAGGTTACTCCAAGCCTCGTCCAACCTGGCGTTGGACACTTCCAGGGATGGGGCAGCCACAGCTTCTCTGGGCAACCTGTGCCAGGGCCTCACCAACCTCTCAGGGAAGAATTTCTTCCTGATATCTAATGTAAATCTCTTCTCTTTTCACTTGAGAAGATGAAACACCTGAGCCACACAGGCTGCAAAGATCACATGAACCCCTTCCAGCATCGCTTTCCACAGCACAAACCCCACAAACCTCATTAACCCTTTGTCAAGCTCTGACCTTCTCCATTACTCTGCCCCTTCTGGCTGCTCCTGCTCCACAACCCAACCTACTGCTATGTCAAAAAGGGCCTTTTCATCTCACGGGAGCAACAGCTTCATGGTGAATGTTATTATTTGCAAATAATAAGCAGAGACAGCAACAATTCCCACATTTAGCTGTCTGTAAGTAGGTGGTCATGCAGTTAAACAAAATCTGTGAGGAAAGTCATGCAAGGTGCCATTCATGACTGCAAAACAGGCCTGTGGCAAGAAAAGGCATTACATGTAGGAAAAATGATATATAAAATCCTTTTAGTTGTTGTTAAATTTAGAGAGTCTCCAGCTCTCCTCTCAGTACTTGCACATACTCTGGACTCCTCTGAAACAAGTCTTGATGGTACATCGAAACTGTAGTTGTGATACTGATGCACTAGGAGGAAGATCAAAATTTTATTTCCACAAACTCTCAGGTAGTCAATTGCTTTCCACCAGTATTTGTGCTCATTTTTAGGAAGGGAAGAGGAAAGTGGTTGAATAAAATCAAAGCAAAAAAATGTTTGCTCAGTCAAAAAAAATTTCTAATTGTTACCCCCACCTCAAAGGATTGACGATATTTCTAGAATTTGAAGTGTGTCATCCCAGGAATATAGATGAAAAGGCTCTTTTTATCCCTTCCATCTAAAATAATCATTGACTCCTAGGTAAAACCTCCCACTCTGGTGGCATCAGTATAATCCAGTGGAATACAAAAGCTAGTTCTCTGAAAAGCACCTCATGGCCGCCACCTCACCCAGTTGAATTCTCATTACAAACTGGTTTTTAGCTGATATTGGGCTCTGTGAGGAAACACCATCCAAATTGCATCCAAATTACACACAAATGAGCTTTAGCCACTATTGTAACATACAACAAAGATGAGTTTGCTGCAGGAAAACACTGGCATAAGAAATCCATATCCCATTCCTTCCATTTCATTTCAGTCTTCCTTTCACTTCAGACAACTTTGTTTTACAATGCACCATTATCTCCCCTCTCCAGCAGCATTGTTACTATCACAAATAGTGCTTGTCAGTTTGAATGCCCATGGCCAAGGAGAGAAGAATGTGCAAGGATAGAGACAGTGTGAACTACATGACATTTTGTTTTACTGACTTGAAAACTCCAGTGAAGATTCATTACACCTACAAATGACAAAGGGAAACCAACAGCTACATTTCTTGACAATGCTCGAGTCCTTTTCTACTCTAAACAGTGGATTTCTTTTTAATATTAGGAAACAAGACAGACAAAGCCTGATATTTCAAATGACTGATGAGTTAAATGTGTTTGGTCAAAACATGTAAGCTCCAACTCTCCATCAGTGTTCAGTTCTAATACCTTCACTGTGGCAGCTCTGCACTTTAACATCCCTCATCCTGGTGCAGCCCCATCTCTTGCACACTTGGCAGATGGAGTTCCTGAGTCAAAGAGAAGCTGTAATTGCCTCCTCACAATGAGGGCAATGGCTTCTCAAAGCTGCAGCTCCCATTTGAGATCAAAACTCAGACTCAGTCCTCTGTTTTATTATATTACTTACAAAACATACATGACTCTAATTAGTCAGGATTTGCTCTCCAGTGGGATGTGGCTGCAGGATATTTGTGTAGAGTGCCTGCTAAATCACATTTGTAATTCAAGAGGAAAGGAAGAGCAGCAAAGCCATAGGTAATGCAAAACCCTTCAGCACAGATAATCATGAAAGAAGTCCATGACATCTATCACCACTATCTCAAGAAGCCCCCTTTGCTCTAGGTCAGCCTCCAGTTATTCCCTCTATTTTACTCCTTGGTTCAGCACACATCTACACAAGAGAGAACTTAAACATCCTCTGTTCCATCACCCATGAGCAGCTCCAGCATAAATTCCAGGCATGACCAATATCTCAGAAACATTTTACTTTGCTGTTAAATCCAATCCTTATTTCAACTATTAAAAGATCTTGAGAGCTTAGCACATTGATTTGGAGGTGCAAACCCGGCATTAAGTCACTGCTGAGCTCTGCTGAACTGTAAAGCCTGCCTGGCTGCTGGAGCCCTGTGAGGAAACAGCTGGCTTTGACTGGTGCTTCCAATTAAAATATTCACACTTGGACACGGTCCACTGTGCTGAGATTTAATACCTATATATTATATAGAGTGCAAAGTGGGCATATAAATAACATAAAACACGTGGCAATGCAGCGCAATGACTTCAGGAATATCTCAAGTAGTCAAAAAGTCACCTGATGTGCCTGTGCTGCTGCCGCTTGGCATCGTCTCCCAGCCTGTTCAGGGATGGTGACCGGCTCCGGGAGGACGGAGTGTAACTCCCCACGGTTTTTACAGTTCCATTGGGATTATTCTGCATCTGTTGAAGCAGATGAGGTGAAAGGCTGCGGTGTGAAGAGGCAGAGGAGGATGCTGACCACTCAGGGAGGTTGTTGATGTTCAGGTTGTTGTCGCTGTTGGAGCGGAGCAAGATCCGAGGGGCCGCCAAGGTGTTCGGAGGTCTCCGCCTTCTGTTGGAATAAGTGGGAGCCTCCCTAAAGGGCACTGTGTGAAGAAAGGCATTCAGGGTAATCTCAGATGATTTCACCACTCACATGTGTTTACCACCACATAATATAATTCAGCAACATATGGCATTGTTTCTTCTGCAGAGACAGAAACTCTACCTTGCCAGCAGAGCTGATCGAACTCATTATCCTCAAAACATCAGTAAAATTGAAAACAACAGAGCAACATGAACCTGTTTACTGGCTTGGATGAATAGTTGAGTAACACCAGTGGCAGGAGTGAGCTGAATAGCCTGAACTATGGTCTAGGAAATGGGATTCACCTCATTATTGCGAAGTTGGACATTCAGAAATTTCATTTTCGTGCTGAGTTGTCACATTCTATTAGGAAGGCACAGAACAGGGCTGACCAGCAGAATTTCTGAGTCATAAACTTACACCTTCCTTCCCCCAGCTGGCACCCAAACTGGTCCCTCACAAGTTCAGGCCTAACCTGAAATCTGTAGTGTTAATAGTCACCTTATCCCCATCTTCCAGGTTAAAAATTGAGGACATGGCTTCTTCTCCTGGCAGAACTCTATTACATTGCTGTAATCCCCAGGTATTCCCCTATTTCTAATCTAGGCACTTCTACCACATCAATTACTATTGTATATAGAACATATTACCCAAGGGGAATACACTCACTGTCACGTGCCGTGTCCCAAAGGGAACACGACTGTATCCAAAGGCTGCAAAATACTTATTAATGAAATAGTCACAACAGCAAACGAGGCAAGGGCAGTAAAAATCTGACACAGAGCAGAGGGTCCATCCCCTCATCAGTGCTCCTGGAACATTTGCACAAGCAGATACTGCTTTCCAGATCACCTTTTCTCCCTGTAGTAGTTTGTTCCAAGTGCAACTTAAAAGGCAAATTTCCTCATAAAAAGACACCCAGACATCACTAGATGTGATATTTCCTATCCTATCATAAGGTAATAGAGAATTTGACCACAAAAACTCAGTCATGACTTGCTTCCCACTGTTGCAACCACCCTCATTAATTTATTTCAGTGGAGCTTGTAGGGTCACAGGAGTTGAGCCAGAGTGCACATATTTACATCTGAAAAGTCACAATAATAAAACTAACAAAAGGTAGCCAGGCATTATTCTGAGGACTTCATTGAGCTGCTGTAATTCTCAAAAAAAATCATATTTAAATTGGTAAAGAAGCCCCACAAAATATCATCCTACATGTCTAAAGTGCCAGTAAGTGCCATTTATGAAGTGGCAGAAATGTCTACTCATTCAATACCCTTCAAAACCACACAAAAACTAGAATAAGAATGTCTGTCATACTGTGCAAGTAAATAAATTCACATAAATATGAATATACATAGGAATCAATCTGTCCTGCCTTGAAATAGAGCCTTTAATTGAGAGAACAAAGCAAAATTTAAGGTTTCAGAGCAAAACTGAGAGCGTATTCATAGCACAAAATAGAGATGGAACTGCAAGGAGAAGAATGGTTTATATGGTTTTCACCAGAATCAGTTTACGATTAACTACAATTCTGAATATTTTAAAACAGCATCCTTTGTATTTCTAATGAGATGAAACTTTCTCTAGTAAACAACTCAACAACATCAGAACAACCAAACAAGAGAACAGTGTGAACAGAGAGAAAGGGCTTAAATTCCATATTTCCTTTGAGATAAGGCTGAAATGAGGGAAGCATTCTTTAAAAGCTGTTAAAGGGGATAAAGCAGAGAAATACAATATTTATGCTGGAAAGTGGCAGAAACTCTGTATAATTTTCATGGCATTTCAAGTGTTTCACATTTCATATTTTTTTAAGGTTTCAAAGCAGCTGAGTATGTCACTGAGAGCACCTGGGTGCTTTAGATGTCACAGTAAAAGCCCTGGTTAGTGCCAACTTAAAGAAAACTCTAAGCATTTAGTTCCCAAATTGGCATATACAGATCCTTAGGTTGATGTAGGGGACAGAGATGTGACATTTCTGCACTCCTATATTTTTGACACTTGGAATCTGACTCTGGAAATTACTTAATTGAAGATAAGGATCCTTCCCAGGTACAATAGAGCAGAATCCAGTCAAGGAGAAAGCACACAAAACTGAATATAGGGAATGTTTGGCACATTTGCCACCTGAAGGTCTAATCCTGCTGTCTCAGGGTCACCAAAGTTTGCCTTGGATTCAGCAAAAATTGAGTCTGACCCTTAGATTTTAATTTTCCATGAACCTAAACAGGTGACACTCCGAGCAGCCTGCCCAGCCTTCCAACCACAGATAGATAAAACTAAATTTTGCCAGGGGTTTGGAGATGTTTACTGGGACTCTGGAGAGGTTGGTGGGATATCTCCTGGTGGGAGGGGAGGGAGCACGAGGGGCAGGGTGACAAGATGGACAGAGAGCTGCCGAGCACGTTTATACCAACAGAGCTGAGAAACCACTCTCCAGGTACCCTTGTCTTCTTTTTCCCTTACATGCCTTAGAAGGATTTTACGTGCTCATTTAAGAGTTTAGCTTTTGCTTTGCTATTAATGCTCTATTCTTAAGGAGGGAACTACAAGCAAAATTAGCCTTTACTACAGAAAATAATCAGGAAAGAGGACAACTAATTACACCAATTGACGTTTGTCTAACACAAATCTTTTATAGAAAGAGTTAAAAATAAGCATTTTGGAGCCTGAAGTGATTAATATTCCATCCAACTGTTTCTTTTCCCCAGCAATCTGCAAACTGTAAGTGGGTGGATATTTTTTTTAGCTTCTTCTTATCGGCATTGTTTATATTAATTTCACAATAATAAAATTAAAATAACTACAACACAATATGATGAAATGCAAATGTCCATGCTTTAATCCCAGTTGGACAGTGATTTTCCCTAATATTTCCCCACATTCAGAACTGTAAGTCTAACTGTTGCAAAACTTGTCTGGGAAAAACAGTTGATATAAAACGACATGAAAATGCCTGAACTAATTACATGCTCCTAAAGTTTAAATCTGTCATCCCTAAAAGCATACTTGAAAGTACCATATAATCCTTCCTCCAGCTCTCCCAATTCTATTCCTGGCACTTCATACATCTGAAGGGGCAATTCAGTCCCATTTACTGACAAAATTCACCCTGGAAAATCCTTAACGTGTCTCCAAATGCATTTCTTAGGGAACAAAAACATTTCTATAACTACTTGATTCTTCAGAGAAAATCCTAAAAGGAACAAAGTCACATCCAGCTTTAATAACCACTTGCCTTAATGGACCATCTAACATCAAATAATTTTGAAAAAGAAATTGCAGGAATTGATTAATTATAGTCACTAAACCCATCATATTCAATGTACACAAGAAAACACCGGTCTGAAACATCAAAGTGTTCTGCTTGCATCGCTTACCTTCTTTCTTTGTGAAGGCATTTAACAAAGACTTCATTTTCCCTTTTTACTTTAGCAGCAATTCCCTCATTACATAACCTTTGCTGGGAAGAAAGAGGCAAAAAAAACCCCAACAACAAACCCCAAAAAATAATAATAAAAATAAAAATTATTCGAGCTACCCAATTTCTATGTGTTCAGGCTGGCTGCACCCTGACATAAGCAGCAGGTTTCTGGGCACCGTGGAATTGCGAGCATAGCTGGGCATGCAGTACCCAGCGTTCTGGTGACAAAGCCCACCCCACATTCTGTCTGTCAGCTGGGAGCCAACTGTGCACAGACTGGAGCTCCTCAAAAAAAAAAAAAAAAAAAAAAAAGGAAAAGAAAAAAAAAAGAAGCTCCTGCTGTCTTTCCCAGCATTAGTCATGTGAACCTGCCGCCGCCACAGCCTCGCAGACGATGCTCCCGCTCCGCTCCCAGCCCGGAGTGTGCGGAGCCAGCGCGGGATGAGGGAGGTGCGGGCGGCCGGAGAGAGCCCGGGGGGGCAAACGTGGATTTGCCAAGGTGGGAAAAGGCACTCCTGCAGCTGCAACTGGGAACAGGGAAGCCTGGACAGCGGGAGCTGCTGGGGACAGGCGTTTAGCTCGGAATTTGCACAGCTGACTCTCGGTGCACAGAGGATTTTACTGTTTACTTGCTTGTTGTTGTTTATTTTCTTGTTGCTGTTTACTCACTTTTTACTATTTCCTTTTTGCTATCTATTTCCTTTTTGCTATTCAATTTCCCTTCTTTATTTCCTTTCCCCTTTTTTCTTTCCCCCTCTTTATTCCCTTCCCCTCTTTATTTCCTCTCCCCTCATTTCCTTTCCCCTTTTTATTCCCTTCCCCTCTTTATCTCCTTTCCTCTCTTTCTTTCCTTCCCCTATTTATTTCCTTTCCCTCTTTCTTTCCTTTTCCCTCTTAATCTCCTTTCCCCTATTTATCTCCTTCCCCTATTCATTTCCTTTCCCCTCTTTATTTCCCTCCCCTCTTTATTTCCCTTCCACTCTTTATCTCCTCTCCCCTCTTTGTCTCATCTCCCCTATTTATTCCCTTTCCCCTCTTTATTCCCTTTTCCCTCTTTATTTACTTCCTTGCTCACTGCAATGTTCCAAAGAAGCAATTTGAAGAAAAGTACAAGTCACACTAATCTTCACACAATGACTCCGTTAAGAAGGGAGACAAACCTGTCACTACACAGAATATCTTCCCATGGCCTATATTCCAGTCTCAAACAGAGATACAAGCACAATTATTTCCCCTTCCCCTTCCATTGTGCTGGAATAAAAGAGAATTTCTTTTTGCACAGGATAAAAATAAAAATTAAAAAAAATTGATCAAGCTCTTTTGCTAAATGCAGTGCTAAATTTCTGCAGATGCCAGAAAACACAAGGTGTGACCAGTGAAGTTTGTAAAGTACTAATTCTAGAAAAAAATGATTTATAGCTGTGCCATGCAGTGCAAGCATGCTTACAGAGGAAGTGTAAATAACTGAGACAGGCAGATAGGAAGCAGGGGGAGGTGCTAAAAAATCACAAAAATTTTAAGCATATCTAGTTAAATCTAAGATACAAGGATATCAAAGAACAGGAAATTCACTGTCTAAAAAAACCAGT